CCCCAAAACCCCAAAACCCCAAAACCCCAAAACCCCTTGTCAATGTTCCACAATAGAAAATATATAATAAATTCAATATGAAAAAGTACCGTTCTCAGGAAGTATATAATCGAATGAACAGTACGTCAGCTATCTTTTTAACCCTCTAGAATCACAACAAGGAATTCCTGAACAACCTAAAGCTCATAAAATCAAAATGGCAAAGATCCAGTTGAAAAAGTTTCAAATAAAAGATCAGAAGAAAGATGAAATAGAGCAAGAAAATAGGATTCTGTTTGAGAAAATCAGGTAAATTTCAGTTGATTCTTCTGCTAAAATTCCTTTAAAAGTCATTCTAAATACTAAAGATACCCTATAGGAATATAGTCATCGGTAAAAACAGGAAAATGTAACGGAAACCTTTACTTTTAGGGCCAAGAATAGCCAATATAGATCTCGGAAGCTAGCCCATTCCTTTATGAATCCTCAGAGAAGAGCAGAAAAAGAGAGGATCAAATAAACAGAATATTATTATGTGTAAATGTCCTTTTAAGTTTTATGTAGTGAAGAGATTGCAAGATACAAAGTCTAACTATGAATCCCTCCATACAGACCAAAGACATATGAAATACCTCTCAGGACTGGGAAAGAAGCAAAGGAGCAGAGCTAGGAATGATAAAGTTGATGAACTCGCCAACCTCAGGAGTAAGTTTAAGGTGTTATGAAATAGCGGAAGTTAACCATACAATGATTCAAAATTTCCCAGAGAAGGAAAAACTTGAAGAAGCCTTTAATTCAGATCCTTTTGAAAACTCTGTTTATACGAGATCCAATAATCATTCGAGCCATGAGAAGTTACCCAAAATTTCTTCATATGCCAATAGTAGAGCTGAATCTGCTATTTCTACTTATTTGGAGAAGAAAGCTATAAAACGGAGGAAGAAGAGTCATGTACAGCATACTGTTAAAGGAAGAGAAAATAACATTCTGGATCCTTCAAGAACAATTGTTTTCAAATAAAGGAGTTGCTTTAGCTTCTGGTTTCTACATTGTAGAGTTCTCCTACACTAGTTCATATTTCTGAATCTCTGTTTTTGAGATGAATACGGATAAATATTACATAAAATAAGACAGATTTAAAAGAGACTCAGTTGCTTTTCTCAATGTTTAACAATGACTACCAATCCATCGCAAATGCTATTCAGATAAAGGGAGATCAGATCTTTGTAAACAAGTCCAAACCAAGTCCTAAGAAGGACTCACAGGTTCTCGAGCCCAGTGAGTCATTAAGCGTCATCTTGGAGTCTTCAGGTTCAAGGAAGAAGAAGTCCATTTCAAGAAATGCCAAATTAAATCCCTACCATTCTTGTGGATGGGAATAAGCCTGACTAGGAATTTATTCAACCAATAAGCGAGGAACTCAATTAAAAGCAAAGAATTTAAATAAAGGTAAAGGACTAAGAACTTTGAAGACTGATATGCCAGAGCTTGGGTATTAAGAATTAGATCTTTACATAAAAATTAAATTTAAGTGGAACATTTTGTACTACAAGCATTAGCATTCTCAAATTGAATCAAGATTTACAAAAATTTCATTATACTACAGTACCATCTTGAATGCCCAGCTCCGCTTCTCAGAATACAAGACCTCTAATGCCTATGAAATAGGGTGGAACTAATAAAAATCTTTGCTTTTGTTGATAATTCCTCATTAATTATTCAATTTGTTCATCTGTAGGAGGGGTTTTGGGGTTTTGGGGTTTTGGGGG